CTTCTCATCTTAGCATGTAGACTTGGTGCATCGCTCTCCTAAGCACACTTACTTTCCATGCAAGTTGCCACTTAAAATGGACCCACATCTTTCTTTTCATATAAATCTGGAGCAGTAAAGTTAAAATTATGTCACCTTGAATTCCCAGTGATAAATGTTATTAGAAAGCTTCTGTGTTCAAGCTGCATCACAAAATGGCTTTGACTAATTTGTAGCTTTTTCATTCCCTTGTAAAAGATGCAATACTGAACAAACACATGTCAGGATTCAGATGGAAAATTTTAAACAGTGAAGATTTTGCTTTGATTTGGAGTGGAAAAGGTAGACAGAGTGGCAGAATAGTGCAGCTGTCAATAATTTTATGGTCTGTCTCTCCTTGTTCCTTTAACTTACATTAAAGGAGAGATTAGTCTTGTTGTCCATGAATTTCTAAGCTTCAGACAAAACTAGGTTTTATTTGCAGTGGCTGTATGGAGCCCACGGATACAAAGAACATCTGGTATGCTTTGCATGCTTTTTGACTACTTGAAGAAACCAAAGCTGGTTTAAAACTGAACCTTGTTAATCTGTGTGACCTCTTCAAAGAACTTGTATGGCCCTTGTGGGAATGAATACAACTCTTAGATTACAAATCACTTCATTAGATATAAAGTCCGCATGCGGCTATCTGTGGTGTGGTCCCTGTGCTGACAGTTGGAGCAATCCAAAGTTCAGTGTACAGTGTTCACCTGGGTTACTACACTTCGAGCAATAGTTTGGAATGTTCTGCAAAGCTAGTAGAGAACTGAAATGGTCAGATAGCCTCTTTGATAAGCCAAGAATATCTACTCAAACGTTGAACACAAGCATAGGTTTTGCTGGGGGAACTGTTGGCCAAACCAGTTGACAATTGGAACACGTGCTGTTCCAAGATCAGTTTAGCCTGTTTTGGAGCACTTGACTAGAAGCAGTGCTTCCAAACAAAACTTCAGCTCACACAGCTTCCTATCTCAAATTTTTAAATACAGTGCTTTAATGTTAGATTTATTTTTCCTTCCTGCTGTTGTTTTAGGGTGTCTGCAAAGAGAAATTAAATCTTCATTTGAGAACCAAAACAGGGCTAGGGGATGCGGAAATCCTGAGTGCAGGAATTGGAAAAGTATTTTTACTGGCTGAAGAGACTTTGATTTTGCCAGTTTTCAAGCCACCCAGTTCACTTGGGAATAAAGCTGAGTGTAGGCTGGAACAAGATGTCAAATTCATCAAGGTGGACAGATCTTTAACTGGATTCTGAAAGAAAGAGGATCTGCGGGTGGTGGGTAGCAACATCTTGCATGCCTTCTAGCTTAGAGAAGGGCATACTTTATACAAGGTAGAGTTGTAAGATAAAAGTGGAAATTATACAGGGGAAAAAGGCAGTGTATAACCGTGCTGGTATAGATGTGGAGATATGTAGGCAAATATGTGGTCTTGATAGCTGTTTGGTCTCAGCGCTAAAATAAACACAGGCTCTGAAACAAAGTGTTTTAATATGTGAAAGCAAAGATGGGAAGAAAAGCATTCTTCAAGGAACAAAGTTTTCCTTCATCTAAGGCGCATAGCTATATGTGTCACAAAGTAGCATGTAGCAGATGTGTTTTAATGGCTTTTGACACTTCCTTGACTTACCTTTTGTTCTTGCGAGATGCCAAATTGGAGTGGGAGGAGAATTTGTTAAAGAACTATTTGACTATGAAAGAGCTAATTTGGGGGTACGGCAAAAGAAAACCACTGAAATTTTGTCATATGGTCTTGAAAAATGGGTTTGGTGTACATACCTGTGCTAATAGCATCTATTTCTGCAGTCTCTTCTGTATGTATATCATGTCGTGGCCCAATCAATTATTTAGAACAGGAGCCAGTCTAAATAGGCAGGCAGACAAAAGGAAAGAAAAGGACTGCGGGTAGGGCTTGCAGAGTAAATTGCATCCAGTCATGAAAGAACTCTGGGAGTATGTCTAGGGTTGCACTAATGTCTCTACCTCAGAATCGTGTTCTTGAAGCACATTTTTTTCCCCAGGGTTCTCTGTGTTGGCACCTTTCTGGATGCTTCTCTAAGCACAACGAAATCTGATAGGCAAAATACCTTTTTAAAACTGTTGCACCAGTATTTATATAAAAGTGAATAATAGACCAAGGCTTATAGCAAACCCCCAAACATGTATATTCTATATTAATATAAAATACTGTGTAAAAGAAATCTGAATAGAAGCTTTAAATCTTGAAATAGATTGCTCATACTGAGATTTCTGAACTTCTGCTTTAGCAGCCCTGCAGTTCTTTTTTTTTTTAAATAATCATAATTCAATATTTGCTGTTTAGTAAAGGATTAAAGAATGCGGCACGTTCTAAGTTACATTTGCAGAGCTGGAATTTGAGATGCTGTCTGCTGAGTCTAAAGGCTGCTTTTTACTAGTTAGCATTCTTTTGAGTGCTTGGACCTGGCTTGATTGATTCCTCTGTGGCTCCTGAATACTTCTGTAGCAGTAAACATGCTGGAACATTAATGTTTAAATTAAATTTTAGAAAAGAAAAAAATACTGGTATAATAGCATCTGACATTACAATATATTTATAGCAATTTTGCATCCATTATACTTAATGCAAACTGTTACACTCTCAAAGCATTCATACTTTCAACTAAGTGTGTTATTGAAATGTAAGGGTGTTCAGGGCTTGATACTGATAAATATAATATAATTTGCTTTTTAATTGAAATAATCAAGCTGGTGGACCAAGAGGTAGCATCTCAGCAGGGGCTGTAAAACTCTATAAACCACTAAAGGCAGGGTAGAAGGGAAGGGGAACAGTGTGCTTCTCTATACTCTGGTTGGCCAGAATTTTGAAAACACATTATGCAAATAACTAGTAGGGTTTATGGAAATACTTGTTTTAAACACTTCAGAGAAAGGAAAAACTGGGGACAAAATACTGTCGGTGGGGAGGTGAAGTAGCAATTTATATTTGCTCTTGAGGATTTACTGATTGTGTGTGGTCTTTGTAAGAGCTGTTTATAGTTCCTGTGTTCTTCATTCAGAACATCAAAAACTGGATCACTTGAATGACAGCTATTCTGGAGGGAAGTAAGACTTTTTGTTTGAGGAAGCCCTGTGTTATGTTGCAAATTATGGCCTCCTACTTGGTTCCATGGGAGGTGACTGAGCATGCAAAATGCATAGATTAAATATCTTGGAATGGGATTAATTTCAGTCTCTGAATCTTGTTTCTCAAATAAATATCTAATTCAGGATACAAATAGGAAAAATAGAGTTCACGCGTCCTCTTGACTTTGTTTCTCTTAAGTGGCATGAATGTCTTGAGTAGTCTCTGATCCCAGAGCGATCCTTACTGTGAATGCCAGTCCTGGAGCTAAAAATCTGAAACCATGAGCATAAATACGCTATTAATGGTTACGGTTGTTTCTTACGGCCAGATTTGTACAGTGCAAGCTTCCAGTTGATAGTTCTTTCTCTGATGTGTACTTCTTGTGAAATGTTGCTTCTAAATCAGTTGGTTTATTTCCAGAGAGACAGGGGAATTGTCTTTGGCACACAAGACACCCTTCTGTTCTCAGGTTTGACTGTAAGCAGCTTACAGTGCCAAGCACTCTGGGGTGGAGAGACGACACCAGTTGTGGTGAGGACGTAGTTTCTTCTAATCCATATGGTGCTCGGGTTCCCTGCCTCGGGAGTTCTTCCTGCTGCACTCAGCCTGTCTCACCCCGAAGTCAATGCAGAGGAGCAGATAGGTGTGGTGGCTGGAGCAAGCGGCCTGGGAGGAGACCCGCCTCTTGGAATGATTTCCCATGGCTCGTCCTGGTGCAGAAGAGGTCTGAGGTGCTCCAGCAGGCAATAGAGGGGGTGAAGGACAGTGTGTTGCCACTTGCTTGTGTTCATTCTTGCCCATGGGTGCTGCCTTTTCTTCAGGCTGACGGCCACTGTCGTCTTCGAGAGGTAAGCCAGAGAAGGGTTCTGGCCTGTTTATCTTCAAGTTGTGGCCACTCTGTAATGCCTCAGGCATTTCCCTGTTGCATAGCTGCTGCAGTTAATGCAGAAAATTTTCAAGTGTTTTGTTTTTTTTAACTGAGCTGAATTAAAGTAATTGGTTTTCGGTCAAAAAACATCCAAGGTAACAATATGGTTGAAGTTCTCTAGATTAATTAACGTTTGGACAAGCCAGTTACCAACCTTGCCCTGGAAGTTGTTGGTCTGCAAATCATCCAGTTCCCTTTGTAAGAATATTTATTTCACAGTCAATTCTGAAAATTTTATCAGCGTATTGGTGCTGCTTGGCATAGTCAAAAAGCACAAAAGAAGTAGTTGCTTTACATTCTTAACGTGAAGATTTGTGTGGTTTTCAAGAACGATACAGGATAGGTGTATGGGTGATGTGCCCAAAATAAATGTGGTTATTTCCACAGAAATAAGAAATGTGTCAAAAGACGCACAGTCTGTCACGTATGTGGACACTTGTGGTGGTTCTGTAAATGAAGTGAAATAGTTAATTAGGACTCTTAAGTTCTATTCTATTTTATCAATAGTTCTAGTCTATCAATAAATATTTTATTCTATCGATAAAATTCAATGGATTTCTAATTAAGATGTGTGTGCAGTTTGCTTCTGTTTGTGCCTGACTTGTAAATATTCTATGTTTTGCTTAATAGAAGTGCATTTCTTTTGAATTCCAGCTTCCAGTCCCTTTGGAATTTACATCAACTGCCTTGCATCAAATGACAGGGATTTTTCCAGATATCCTTCCAAGCTATTTTCCTGCTCCTGCTTCTCTCAGCAGACTTTATCTCCTAGTGACACTTAGATTGAATTGCAGTGCTGTGCAATGTTGAACAGCCGTGGCGGTGAAACTACTGCTGTTCCTGTCACTGCAGGAGTTTAATGTGTGGCTTCAGCAGCCTGTGTAAAGAACTGAGGTTGGTCACCATAAACAAAGACTTGAAGGTGTCGCTTTTGTCTTTTTGTTTTCAGAGGGTCCATATGGAATATTTGCTGGCAGAGATGCCTCCAGGGGACTAGCAACTTTCTGTCTAGATAAAGATGCACTCAGAGATGAATATGATGACCTATCGGACTTAAATGCTGTACAGATGGAAAGTGTAAGAGAGTGGGAAATGCAATTTAAAGGTAAATTCTCAAATTAGCAGCACATTTTTAGCTTAAGGAAATGCTTTTCATAAAAATGACTGGTTTGGGCTTGGGGCAGCTTTTAAAGAGATGTTGACAGTAACATTAATAATTGAATGTAACTTTCTTAGGATGAGACCAGGATTTTCAGGCCTTTCTTCCATACAGAGGATTCCACTATATCCCATTTGAGGTTTTTCAGCCTTTTAGTTTTACAAGAAAGCAGTTCTCAGCTCCTCAGCACAGAATTTCGCTCTGGAATCTCAGTGTAGCTGCTGGAATTCCTGCTCACAGGTTGTTGGCTTCAGATGCCACGGAGTCATGATTAGGACTAAGAGTTGTTTTGGCACGAAGGGTTGAACAAGTTTGTCTCGAAACACTTCCACACTTTTGAGAAATTATGCCTTTGGAGGGAGGGGAGACATTTTTCCCATTAACTGAAATGGGAACAGGCTGAGGGAATTTATGCTGGTTTTAATAGCAGCGTTTTCAGCCATTGTTTGATAAAGCTTGCCTGGTTCCCTGCGGGAGAATTAAAACAAAACACTCAGGGAAAGCAGTGAGCAGCAGTGGTAGGAAGATTGTTTTAGGAGGCTGAGCTTACTGATAAGTTGCTGTCAATTTCAGTGATTGGGGTTGAGGACCTGAGTGTGTAAGTGAATTTGCAGCAGTGCAGGCTAACTAGCAAATGTAGCTGTGCTTGATTGTAATGGAATCATAAATCTTTTTCAGAAAAATACGACTACGTAGGTAGACTCCTAAAACCAGGGGAAGAACCTTCAGAATACACAGATGAGGAAGATACCAAGGATCACACTAAACAGGAATGAACTTTGTAAACAACCAAAGTCAGGGGCCTTCGGAACTGCAACCTCTTATTCCCCATCACAGAATGTCCTGCATCTTTGGGTACAGTTCATCTGCTGCGAAAAACATTCAACAGGTTTTGTACAAGGAGAATAATAAACTCACAAATGAAGATTTGAATACTAGACATTATTTGTGCTGCCAAACTTTTTGTTGCAGTTTCTTTGTAATGTCTGGTTAGGCTTCGTTAGTGAAGAGGGGCCAGGGATTTAAAGGCAAAAACGCTATTCCCTTTTATCAGTAAGCTGAAGTCTTCAAATAGTATATATCACAAGCTCTCGAAAAGACGTGAGTCTTCAAGCTCAGTGGAAGGTTTGAATCTCGTTTCATATGTGTCTTCTCCTTCAGCATTAAAGAAAAACGTACTCATGTACATCAGTATCAGTAGGTTAGACTACTGAAACTGGTGTTAAAATGTGAATTTCCAATTTTGTTTTGTATGTGGGCGTTAGTAGCCCTGGCAGAATACTTCAGTTCTCTAAGAGAAGTCCGTGTAGATTAGGATGGGGGTAAAATTCATCCTTTTCTCAAAAGGATTGGGTAAAACCATTTCCTCTGCAACAACTATTATCTGAAGCCTGCCTCTCCCCCCTTTTCCCATCCTCTAAATCAAATCAAATATTAATTGTGCCTTATTTCGCTTACATAGACTTGAATTGTTTTAAGGGACAGCCCCAAAATCGTGGTTTCATAGTCACTACAAGCAGCATTGAGACTGAAGTTAGAATGTTCTGTTGACTGGAAAACCTTGATGTTATTCTGTGTATAGAATGTAAAAGAGGAATACTCAGTGTTACTGCCATATGTTAATACTACATATACTTAAATTAGCATTGTGATGGCCAAATGCATACTCCCATGCTTCTTTTTAAGTAATTACACAAAAAAGTCACCCTTCCTCCTCTTCCAGAAGCTGCCTAACTTTTGGGAGCGTAGCCTTCACACCCCTGTAGAGCGAAGGGGCCTGCGCGCGTGTGTATGTGTGTGTGTCTGTCTGAATGCAAGACTTGGGAGGGATTGTTTCTGCAGATATTGTAAATACGAGTTCCATTTTAATAAAGCATGTACAATACCAAATGTGCTGTCAGACTTTATGTAGAAGCTGTTTAGCAGAGCTGGAATACGGTGGAATACAAAGCAAGGGGAAGGAGTCTGGGACCTGAAACATCCACCGCTGTCGATGCTGTTTCCTTGTCCTCGTGGTGTCATTTTGCCTTTGATGTCTCAGCATTTGAAGAATCTTGAAGCCTCACTCAGGTAAGCTGTATGTAAGAGACTAAATCTATGCCAATGCATTTATGGGGGTGGGGGTGATGTAAAGAAAGGAGAAGCATTTTAGGAACTCACGTAATGTACGGTAACAGGAGTGGCACTAGTAGGACAGGAAGGCTGGAGGTCTGTACGTGGGTATCACTCTACATATTGTAGAAATGTCACTGTCTGTTCTGCTAAGGTAACGGTGACACCATTGGGTTCCTGAGTGGCAGCTTTGTGGCGTACATCTGTCCCTCTGTTTGCAGACCTCACCTGTGATAAGCCTACAGTAACACATTTCTGTATATACATTCTGTTGAACTGTAAACTGTGAAATTCCAGGAACTACTTCCTTTTTATTACAATTTGACTGAAAGAGATTTATATTGATGTAAATGAAACAAATAAACAGAAATCCTCCCTTGAATCGTGTAACTGGCGTGTCCTAGAAGGCAGGTTGAATTCTCTTCCTCGTTGTACCCAGGCTTGGAACAGAGTGGCTTTATCCCAGCAGAAGTAGCAGACCTGGAGTCGTTTCTCCATAGAAGTTGGGTGATGCCCGTTTTTGTAGGGACTGGACAGTCCCGTTAGGTGTGGGGCTCTTCAGCCACTGACTGTCATTCAGTAAAGCACTGGTTTGTGCTTAGGTCACATCTTATCGGCTGTGTGCTGGGGCCATGGCCAGACTTGGGTCTGCACGTTAGTTCTATAATAAGTATCTGCTAATCATCTTAACGCCGCTGAAAGGCTGGGCCTGCCAGCGTAACCACACAAGTACGTGGTTTGGGTGGAACAATGGAAGCTACCAGGGGGTAAAGAAAAGCTTTCTTGCAGAGGACAGGAGCTAGGAGTGCATAAGCACCAGTTCTTTATCTGGGTGCTTCGCTACACGAGGGAATTTTTCTCGCTATAAAAGGTTTTACATTACACTTCATTGACAGTGTAACTTTCACTTTTAGCTTTTGCACCAGCTGTTGCACCTCATCATGGCACCAAGACGGGTGTAGCTGTGGAGCAGAAAAAGGCTTACCTAACTATCCCACGGGACAAACAGATTTTATTTTTTTTTCCAGGCTTCCACATAAAAACGTGCAGAGTGTGTGTTACAGCTGCTGCTGGGCAAAGTCAGGCTGGGGTTCCTCAGGCTTGCAGTGAGTTACTCTGCTCTTGGCTCATTACAGCTCTTTGTGTTGCTACATCTGGCACAGCTGTACCAGGACTGCTTTAGCTGCTTGTAGCTATTCTATGTAGAAACTTCCTAACCCACGTCCAGGCTTTCCCTTTCCGTAAGAAATGCAGTGAAGCTTAATCACAGTGAAGTTACATCAAGTTTTAGGGTGGTTTTTTTTTTTTTTTTTTTAATTGTTTTAAAAGAACAATGCTCAAATTTTTACTTCTATGATCTAGGGTGGGTTGGACAGCAAGCTGGGTAAGGGATGAGACTTGCTTTGAATCAGCAGTAACTGCAGAACACACAAGTCTCATCCTACAGCAGCAGTTTGTTGCATAAACTTGATCCTGTATTTTGATGTCTAGTGAATCCAAATTAGCCTCGTTTATCCTACATACAAAGTCACTAGTGATTTAAAGCTGACAACCTAAAAAAAAAAAGTGCTTTTAAAGCACACTGTAGCTTTCATTTTTATAAAAAATTGTCACATCATAGAATAATTTAGAATAACATCAGATCCATCAAAACTTCAGTGTGATTAATACACTAATTTGATGGAGGTGTTCATCCTTGTAACGTTTGTGTCAATCACTTGGTCAAAATTCGCTCTTCACTACAGTGACAGGCAGCTTGAATGTTACACTTTGTTTAAGCAACATAAGGGATTGAAGGGAGTATTTCTCATCTTCAGAAACAAAATACATTTCCAGTTCAAGATACCACTTGTTTTCCAAGACTAGACTTAGCGTTACTGGTTTGGGTAGTCGTTTGTTTTGACACTTCTGCCTCATTTGTACACTGCTTCCCAAAAATGCTTGATTATGGCAGGAAATCTATTTTTAAATCTCCTTGATCTGAACACCGTGAATTTCCACTAAGGAGTTCAGAATTATCCTTTTATGTGCTCGTACTTGGTTGTATTGTTTTATTGAGGTAGATCTATTTTTCCTTGGCTAAGGTTTAAATTTTCTATCCTTCAGAGTTGGACACAGCACGTAAGAGCAGTTTGGCACTCTGCTTCTCATCTTGTTTCACTTTAAGTATCTTAGTTCAAAGCTGTTTTCTAACATTTTTTTTTTTTCTTCCTAAAAAATCAGTTTGTTTTTACTATAGTCATTGTAAAGGTCAAGGAATAGTTAAACCTTACGCTTTGAGTCTCTTTGATAATTGTTTTCTCTACAATTGTGGGGTTTTATTTCCTCCAGGAAATACATGTGTTGCTGTGTAGAATAGTACAAAATATCAGTCAAGACCTAGTACATTTAGTATAATGGTCTTCCTGGCTCTGCTTTGGGGTTGGTTTTTATTTTTTTTTTTTAGGACAGAGCTGTGTAGTTTTTGATGAAGTGTAACTAACTCACTAATTGAGCAGCTCGGTAGTGAAGTGTTGCAGAAGTTCATTTATTAAGCTCAGAGTGGGTTTGTGATGAAGTCCTGTGCCCTTGGACTCCTTCCTGCAGTCTTGCTTCTCTCCTGATGCTGCAGACTGAAGCGTAGCCGCAGGGAAAAACCCCGCATGGCCGTCCTCTGACTGCTCTGTCAGGCATGAATGGAATGATGCAATTCCAGCTGCAGATTTGGCTATCTACTCCTTTTCCTACTGAACACTAGTAATAATGTAGCTCTGGCCTTGCAGGCTTGCTTAAATATGGAAACCAAGTAATTAAGTATGAATGTTACTGGCAGATCCTTCCGCTGGCTTTCCATTGATGGTGAAAGGGGAAGGCTACCAACAGGGATTTACAGGTGGCATCTTAAGCTTTGCTTTTGGTAGAACATCCATGCCAAGGCTGGTCCAAATGCAGGTGAAGGGTTGTTTACCTGAAAACTAAAAAAAAAAAAAAACAAAACCAAAAACCAAACTGTTGTTCACCCCTTTTTCTTTAGGGATTCTTGTGGTTCTGTGTCTCTTTTCCTCTGCCAGAAGGCAGCAACTTTAGGGTGTTCCATAGAGGCGTAGTCTGGCACTGCAGCCTTCCTGCAGTATTGATGAACAAATCCAGCTGTCTGCCTCTGGTTACAAACTTTACTTGTTGGGGTGGTTTTTTGTGATGATCATATTTTACTGACCTGTCGAGTTTTCTAGGTAATTGGGCGAAGCCTACAAGTGTACACTCAGTAAGCATCTAAAAATAAAGCCCTTTGGAGGTGTGAAGTTCCGGTGGCAAGTCTGGATTTGTCACTTGACCTCAAGCATTCAATTACTGTTTGTTTGTATATAAACTCCCTTTCTCTGGACTGGCTCCACCCCTGGGGGGACTCCTTACAGGAGAACATTATCTGGTCTCCATCGGGAACAAGAGCCACCTCGAGTCTGCTCTTCTAAAAAGCCTTTAGAATCCAGTATTTTGAGTACAACAAAAGAAAAATCTTCCTGAGCTGAGGCAGAGTAGGGTTATGAAATATTTGTACATTCACCTCTCAAAAAGAGAAATGAAGCCAAACCTAACCAGAGCTCTTTAAAGAGCACACGGGAGATTTTTAGAGGAGGAAGGTCTAAGACTTGCTAAGTGTTTAGTAATAGACTACTGCTAGAACACAACCAGTCTTAACAAAGACTAATTGAAGGTTGGCTTAAATGGACCTAAAAGGCATCAGAAAGAAAGACAAATTTATGTGTCTGCAACAGGTATGCCAGTTATTGAAGGGTGATAACAGCTTTAAGCCAAACAGAGAAACAAGCTGCTGAGCCAGCAAAAGCTTTTTGGGTTTATTCTAAAATTCAGTGGGTTTGTTCTCAGCTCCATGTGCCAACAGCAGGACTGGGTCAGTTTTTCCACCTACGGGCAAGGGCAGAGAGGAGAGATTGCCGCCAGGGGGAGGTGAAAGGGGACAGAAATTCACGGGCACATCTACAGCTTTACATCTTTCAAGTTGTTTTTCTTCACACTTTGGGGGGAAAAAAAGTTGATATACAACACCATTAGGTTTTGTTGTTGTTGTTGTTTTTATAAAATTTGTCAAGATATCACAAAATTACACACACTAAAAGCTTAATCTGCACATTTTCCAATGAAAAAGTGAAAGGAAATATCTTAAATCTATTTTATATACAATTTCAATCCAAATTTACATTCGCATCATTTTCTTTATAGCAAAAGGCATGGATCAAACACAGGATTGAGATGTGTCACTTCAGCGTATTTATAGGATATTAAAATATCGGTATGCGTTCATTTAAATTAATTTAGACCAGGCCACTTACAAAAGGCTCAATTTTGTATTGAAATCGTATTACCTGTTGGGAAGGCCACTGCTGAACAGACTCCTTTACAGTGCAAACATTCATGGTTTGTTTCATTGAGATTCAAAGGACAATGGCTGAAAAAGAATTACTGGACTTCTGAGCTGGGAGCCAGGTCTGAGAGCCCACAGGCGGCTGCGCAGTCAGCGAGGACACCTTCGGGGATTAAGGCATTTGTGCTAGACATCACTTTTTAATTTTGACTGAAGTCTTTTCTGCAGTTAACTAACAAAAAGCTGCAATTCTTCTCACCTACCCTTGGAAGAGAGAAGTTACCCAACTCGGTTCTTTTTGAGTCTTTAAAAACAAAATAATGAATATAGTAAGACATTACAGGATATAAACATCCTCATCTTTCAGCTACAGAAATGGATTTGTATTTTAATAACTTACATTCAGTGAAATTGTTT